CCTCGCCAATCGAGCCCTTTGGTAAACTCTCAGAACCCGTTACCTCCGCAACCTCATGATCCCCTCCGGAAGCATCACCCGAGGGATCCTCATGAGTAACTTCAGCCGCGGCAACCTCCACCTCCGAAGAATCGGCCTTTGCTCTCTTAGACGACCTGCTCTTCTTCTTTTTCTTCTTTGAGACAGCATCAGTATCACGATCAACTGCCTCATCTACCGCTGAATCTCCTACCGGTGGATCGTCTCCCTCATTGTGCGAACCCCTGACCTTCTCGTTCTCCGCCTCCAACGCTGCAGCAGGGTCGAAATTCTCATCGGCCAGCTGAGAGTCCAAGAGCTCACTGAAATTAGGATACACTCGCAGAATTTTTCCCATCAGTGGAAGTGGTAACCTCTTGCCCTTAGGATCCTCACAAGGAATGTCGGATGCCCAATCAGCTGCAACAAAACGAGATAAAATATGCAAGCAATCAGACCAAGGCATAGATCGATCGATCGACCATCAAGTAAGTCTTGTCATTCCTACGGCAAGAACGAAATAAACAAAAAATTGCTGCAACAAAATGAGATAAATAATGCAAGCAATCAGACCAAGGGATAGGAGTCGATCAATCGACCATCAAGTAAATCTTGTCATTCCTACGGCAAGAACGAGATAAAGAAAAATCGCTCTTACCCTTCGAAATCCAATCTCGTTGACGACGAATCCTCCTCCGATCGAAACTGGCCCACTCACTTCGATCGAACACGGCAACCTTCGCGACGACCTCCCAAAATCGTTCAGGGTAATCAATGGTGTTCGGATGACCAACTGCAAAAACAAAAGAAAGAAACATATAACATCAGATAAAAGGTCGAACGATCGATTAACTCGATCCCAAAAATATATAACTACCAATATGGTAGTTCCATAAAGTGCGAGAATGATCATCCGGTGGCTCCTCAAAAGCGGCCTCATCAGACTTTATGTAAAAATACGAGCGTTGCCAATGTTTAGTCCTCGTGGGATGACCAGTGAGGATATGCAGCCCTGCACGCATCTGCAACGCATACGAGCCGCAAGGCTTCGGCTGAATCTGTGTTAACTCCTCGAAAACCCGAACACTCATTGAGAGATCTGCTTCAGCCGCCATAACCATCAGGGCAACGGCCATTCTCATCACCCCATTCATCAACTGGGACATAGGAATGGCTCGACGCGCGCAGTACGAAGTGACCAAGCGAGGGATGGGAAACCATAACTTCCCATCTTTTTCAAAAAAAGACTCATAGACGCAATGAAAACCCACAGGCGGAGTCCATGGTCGCTGGTCGGGACGCGGGATGACGAACGTCACGCCGTATGCCCTGCGTCCTCTCAGCAACGAAGCAACCGTTTTTTCCGTAGACCACGTCGGCGACACATCAACCCATTTCTGCCCCTTAATTTTCGATGGCCGAACATGACTCGGAGGAACATCCGCCAACTGCTCAATCATCCCATTCCTGTGACAATAAAAAGGAACACATCGCTGAGCCGACGCCAATCCAGAAGGAGATCGCTCATCCTCGCACTGCTCAATCTCACATCCCGCACCGGAGTCATCCGCGATAGTCGGGGACCTTCCTATTTCGTCCTCACTAGCGGCACCACCCCCAGAACCTCCCGGCGATGAATCCTCCACAGAAGCCGGCGATGTCTCAACTCCATCAGCACCTATCGGAGACCGATCGATCGAGTTCCCCTCCGGAGAATCATCCTCCGGACCCGCAGGTTCAGTGACCATCTCCACATCATCGGGCAAGCATCGTCCGCCTCCATCTCCACGGGCAACACCACCATCGTCTTCCATCCGATCGAAATCGGGACGAGCACAATCGCTCTCCACCCGAACTCCTTTCCCCTTCTCAGCCCAAGTCAACCTCCTCTTCGCAATATCCATCGATCGACCGGCCAAGCCCAAATCTACCCTAGCGGCGGCGGCGGCGAGCGATGTCGAACGAACTTCCGGCGGTGGCAAAGTAGCGAATTCCCGGCGGCGGCGAAGCGATAAACCTCCGGCGGTGAGCGATGGAACCTCCGGTGGTGAGCTGTTCGATTTCACCTTCAACAAAAATAAAAAGAAGAGAAAAGAGAGAAGGGAGAGAGAGGGGAATACCTTGGAATGGAGAAGAGTAAAAGAAATGAGAGGGGAACCTTATATTTATAAGGAAGCTCACGGAGACCGAGGCCGTCAGAAAAATTAGACCTAATGGGCCTAGGCATCCGCAATTGTTTTCCCGCCGAAACATTCCTTTCCTTCGCTTAAACCAACGACGGTTTAAATCGAGAAGTCATCGGGCGAAGGCTCGAAGGCATATATACGCAAATTTTGGATTGGTCGAAATCAAGAAAGAAGAGGATTAAAAAAAAAAAAAAAAAAATCGTCCATCACGCGCGCAGATAACCCGAGCCAGTCATTCTTAAAGCCAATTCATCACAATCCGCTTCCAAGATATCGGGCTCCTTGCAAACGGACTGGGGGAGACTTACTGTTGGAGGAAGATTGATCATCTCTCCCCAAGGCCCATTGAATGACAGTCTTTAGCCCATCTAAAGTTCGACCGAAGTCCAATTGGAAGAAACGTCAAACTAGAAGTCCGAACGACCGGTTCAATTACATAACCGGGATGAGGACGATTTAAACCGGGTTAACGAGTAATTGTTAGCTCGAAAGCCCATTAAGCACGAGCTCGATCTTGGGCCTCTAAGACGAGCTTTAGGGCGAACGAAGCAAGGAAAAAGAACTTGGAGTATAAAAGGACGAAGAGGGGGAAAGAGAAGAGGATTCGCAAATTACTACAAGAACTCTGACGGCAAGGTTTAGGGTTTTACGATCAATCGAACCTCCTTGTAATCTGGTCGGACTTTCATAAAGCTCCGACCTTTGTTCTTTTCTCGAATCTTTCTGTAATCTCCTCTTGATATCAACTCTGATTAATAAAACGCCTTCGAAGAACCCACAAATCGAGTTTAGTTTTCTAGTCAANAGGTTTAGGGTTTTACGATCAATCGAACCTCCTTGTAATCTGGTCGGACTTTCATAAAGCTCCGACCTTTGTTCTTTTCTCGAATCTTTCTGTAATCTCCTCTTGATATCAACTCTGATTAATAAAACGCCTTCGAAGAACCCACAAATCGAGTTTAGTTTTCTAGTCAATCGACCGTACAAAACTCAGATTCAACAGTTGTCATCATCAGTATAAAAGTATTTGTCTTTATCCTCTTCGCAGAACTTGAAAACCCTCTTGTAACCAAAGGTGTCATCCGTGGCCATGATCAAACAGACCGGTTTATCATCCTCCATGATCCTCCAGCAACCGCTATCACAACCACCATCGGTATAACCACAAGCCTCTGTCCGGTTAGCCAAGATGCAGAGTCCGGACCCTAGTGCAAACATCTGATCTTGATGAGGATCCACAAGCGACGTTGGATGCATGCAGTACACGTCGTTGGTAACGTAGCTAGGCCATTCGTTTTCGTCACCGATCAAGTACTGCAGATAATATGAACCCTCATCCTCTGGTTTAGGCATATTGTATCCATAAGCTGGCAAATATTGTGTTGCAGGAAGCGGACCAGATGAATACGAAAAATGCTTGGTTAGCAAGAAACCTATTTCGGTTTGGAAGAAAAGCTGAATCTTGCAGATCACGTAGTCTTGCTTAGGGTTCCATTTATTCAGAAGTCTATACTCTTCCATAACCCATCTTCTCTTGTACTCTCTGGCTCTCGTCGTCTTCTTTACGCAGAACTTGAGAATCTTCTTGAACCCTAGAAGCTTCCCTGTCTGCTCGTTCTTGATCAGTTTATCACGGGCCATGATCCTCCAGCTACCATACTCACATCCATCGCTTTTACCACATGCCTCTGTTCGTCGATTAACGATCACGAAGATGGTGTACTCAGAATCGAATTCTGTGTTTGGATTCTTGTTAAACACGTCTGCGTCTTCGTGGAAGTGTTGAGGCCAGGATGCTCCGTCATCGATCATCGGCTTCAGATACCGTAAGAGTATCACCTCGTCTCCTCCTTCCATCAGTTCGTTTCTGATCCGTAAATAATTTTCATCAGCCATAATGAAACTTAATCGAAAGAAGGAAGAAGAAGTGGTTTGTTTCTTGGGGATGAAGCGAAGAAAAGGAAGAAGAAGAGCGTAAAAGCGAGCGACTGATGTTAATAGAGTTGCTTTTTCAGTTATAGTTAGTTACTAGTAGTAGTTCTAATTTTCTGTTTAACACTCATTATCTCTCTACTAGATATGGACATGTGTGTTATAGACATGTGCGTTGCACGCGTTTTGACTATTGTTTTAATTAAATAAAAACGTAAAAGTGGATTTTTTTACTGAAATTATGTTTTTATATATGGTGTGTGAAATTTACTATGGGAATCAAAATTCATTTGTTCACCTAAATTTTGGTTAAACTCCTATTTCAATAACCAAACTCAGTCAGTTAAAATTGTTATTTTTAGTACAAATATTCAAACGGCTTCAGATACATTAGTTTTTAAATATTTGTAGATTTCTATATATCAAACTGAATTCATCTTGATTTGGGAAGACTCTGATTCGAAACCCACATGATACCCAAAAGAACTAACTCTAGTTGAACATATATTCAAATGTATATGTCTAACTGAATATTATGTAAACAAATAAAAAAATTATTAACCATTTTTAATTCTTGTCACAATACATACATAAGAATACCAAAAACTTTTACACGGTTTACATGATTCTTCTCCCAAGGGTAGTGTATAGACTTCTCTCTCTCTCTCTCTCTACTAATCTACATGATTCTTCTCCCAATACATAAGAATTAGAAAAAAAATAATCTGAATACAACCAAAAACAATAAAGATACTCGATTTCAAGAGAACACAAATAGTATTAACCAAAATCTTTTACACGGTTTACCCCAAAGAATCAGACCTCACAGAATACAACAGAGACAACATCAATATACTACTACACATAACAAATTACATTCCAAAACAAATCTCAAACAATCAACAATATGGACTCCCCCTCTCTCTCTCTACTAATCTACATGATTCTTCTTCCAATACAAAGCAGCTATGGCAGAAGCACTTGAAGCTCCCTATTAAAGGAAACCAATACCAGCTAATCAATCTTCTTCGGATCATTCAACACAAACTCTGCATATAGATCCTTCAATGCAATCACCACCGTCGTTATCAACGGTCCCATTATCGCTCCCTACAACAACGAAAAACATTACAAAACCCCCAACTAGAATTATCTAAACATCCAATTTTTATTGTGTTACCTCGAGAGCAGAAGGAAACAGGGTCACTCCACCAATAATGCTCAGTCCAGTAAGGTAAGCATTAGACCCTGGAATGTCATCCTGAATCTCCGAAGCACCATACTCCATCAACACTAGATGCGTCACTGACAAAGTCACTGCAACAATGTATCTTCCTTCTAACACAAGCTGCAATGCCGCTGGAATCGTGGCGAACCAGTAAGGGAAAATCGGTAACAGAGCGCTGATAAAGGCCAAAACCGTCGACATGTAGAGGAAATGTATATTGTATAGTCTAAACAACAGCCAAGTGAGACATCCTTGGAAGAAGGCAATCTCCGCTGTAGCTAAAAGCACCCCAGAGATAGCCAAGTCTAAAACTTCAACGCATCTTTCTCTAGCAGCTGCGTTGATGGGAAGCATGTTCATGACTTGCTCAGTCACACCACCTGATTCCGACGAGATGAGAATGTACAAAACCCAAATGAAAACCATTAACTGAGACACAAAGTTGAAAAACTCCGCCGCTCCAGAGATTATAGAGGTTCCTATAGAGAAAACAAACTTAGCACCGCCTCCAACAACAGAAGCACTGCTTGAGAACACCCGTTGCGAAACATCCATCCCTTTAACAGCAAACCCTTTAGCCTTCTCAACTAAATCCTCTCTAGTGATAATAAGCTCCCTGAAAATCACATCAACCTCAGAATATATCTGACTCCACTCTCGATTCTTAACCCGATTCCTCAAACTCATAAGCTTCTCAGTGTAAAGAGACGGAGCTATAAGCGCAGTAGACGGCGTAGACGTGTTCTGAGGATGCCCAATCACGAAATGCTTAATCCCCGTAACCAACTCCGTCATGTTATACTGCATAGCCAAACTATCAATCTGCTCAGAGACCGTCTCGTAAAGCTTCGTGGAGTACATATCAACCATCCCAGGCACATCATTCTCATCCATCCACTGCTTAATCCCAATCTTCTCAGCGTAATTACTCTCTTCCACATGAGACTTCAAAGAATAAACAGCATCCTTCCCTTCAACCCCAATCTTATAAGAGAAGAAGATAACACCAGTCAAGGAGCCAAGAATCATCAACACAATCAAACCAATAGCAACGATAGTATTCAACCTCGTCATGATCCCTCTAGTGAAATAAGCAGTGAAATGACTCCTCCTAAAGCTATTACTCCTCAAAGAAGACACAGCAGACAAAGTCGAGTCCACGTTCTTGGAACTAAACAGAAACCCTAAAGAGAGAATCACAAGAGACCCAATAGCACCAATCCTCTCATAAGCAATAACAAACACACCAAAGGAAACTAACCACTTAACCAACCTAGAAAACCCACCGGTCCTCTTCCTATTATTCCTCTTAGGCTTCGACCTCCGCAGAAAAACCCTAAAGCAGACGTTTTTAACATCAACAAGGGACCCGATGAAGACGTTGAAGATCCAGACGGGGACGGCGAGGATGACTTCGGTGAGACCTAATTTCAAGGGCTCGCTCCAGAAATCGACGAGGGTTTCTTGGATGCCTCGCAGGGGGATGGAGCAGAGGATCGCCCATTGGATCGGCCGGAGATATTCTTGTAAGAGCTTGCCGACGAAGTAGAGGACGAAGATCGCGAAGGCGAGACCGGCGTGGGCCATGGCGATGTATATGGCGAGACGGGCTTGGGAATCGACGGAGGAGAGAGATGGGTTGCTTGATGCTCCTCCATCGACGGTTGAAGGAGGAGGAGAAGAGGAAGAAGATGGGTCTTGAGGTTTACGAGATGAGGCGGAGCGGAACATGTCTTGCCACGGGAGGTTTTCTGGTGATTTTGTCTCCGAATCGAACGGGACAAGTTCCATCAATTGATCAATCAATCAATCTTCCTTCAAGAGCAGATTTTTTAAATCTACAAAGAAAAAGAAAAAAAGAGGTTTTGTTTTTTTTTTTTGAAAATGCGTCGCATTCAAGCTTGAGAGATTTTTTTTTTTCAGATATAATTAAATTTTCTTCTTTTTTTTTATTTACTTGATGATAATTGAATGTTTATGATTGGTTATTAATGGAGGAGACAGAAGGAGAGGAATTATTTAATTTATTTTAGTGAGTGGAATTACGGAAATGTCCTTACCGACGACGTAGTCTGTGACCACGAGGTCCACGACGAGACGACTACTTCAGTTTGCTTTCTCGTTTCGTATATAAAAGTTCCCTGGTTGATTGATTGTCTATTTCTGGAATAAATATCTGTAACTAGTAAACTAGATATATAGTAATCATTATAAGAAATGGTAAAACCTATATTTTATTCGACGTTTTTAACTATTTTAGTATGTAAATTTAAATTATATCAATTGAGTCAACCCAATTGGTCGACCTCAATGTCACATGATTCGAACATGCGAGACACGGCAAAGCCAGGTATTTCAGGCAAGTCACAATCTAACACGTTCTCGTGTCTCTTTGTTGTATAATAAGACGAAGTATTTTAATATGACTTTATCCCAAAACAAGCATTCCTTCACTACTTTTTACACCAAAACGTGTGATTACCATTCTATCCTTATCTTTTTGCACGAAGTTCCTCCTCTTTATATATTCTACACGAGTGCAAAGCAATATATGTAGAAGAAAAAACCAAAAACTTTCCCAATAACAAGTATAAATTTATGTTAAAGTCGATATTGGTGACGTTCAAAATCTTCTAATAGATGAATTTCCCAATAATCTATTCTACTAAAATAGAGTCATTCTTTTTATCTACTGATACAAGTTGTCATTTAAATTTGGATTCTTTCTAGAGTATTACAAATAATACAAGTTATATAAATGATTGAACCGCATTACTTAAATTAAACCGGCGGTTATTTATGGAATACAGTTTTGGGCTTACTTTTGTTTTTATGACATTTAATTGTTTGATTTTTGGGCTTAGTATTAAAGAAAAACTCCAAAAACATTAAATAAACTTTCCACCTTAATGGATCAAAAATCAATTACTATTTTCAGACCCAAAAATATTTAATATTTTCAACAAAATAAAATTATCTATTATTAATCACTTATTTAAATCATGTACTTTAAAATATGTTAATATTTTTAGCCCAAAAATATTTAATATTTTCAACAAAACAAAATTATCTATTATTAATCACTTATTTAAATCATGTACTTTAAAACATGTTAATATTTTTTATTTTAAATAACAATCACTCTATTTTGATAAATTTTAAGGGTAACTTTTAAATAATTTATTGTTTTATTTTTCTTAAATAATTTACAGATTTAAGAAAAAATGTAAAGCAAAACCAAAAACCGAATCTAAAAACTAAAATCCAAAACCAAAATCTGAAAACGCAGGTTATATTTTTTGCTTTTTTTATTACAAAATAAACTATTTCAAAAATTTTAGAAAATTATTTTGTCATCTTTTCAGTTTTAAATTACATGTTCGATTAATTGAGATTTGTTTGTTGGTAATATCAGTTCAAACTAACTTAGCAGGTCTAAAAATTAAAAACCCAAACCAAAAGCTGAAAATCAAAAATAGAAACTTAAAAACTAAAACCCAAAAACCAAAATTTAAAACAAAATCTAAAAATAAAAACTGAAACTAAAAATTAATGAAAAACAACTATCACCACAAATTTTGGTGAACTGATTTTATCCCAAAACATTCTTTAAAATAAGATAAAACCCAATTACATAAAATTTTAATCATAAAAAATTTCTGCGCTTGAATTATTTTTTTTGCTTTTTATTAAAAAATAAACTATTTCAAAATTTTTAGAAAATTATTTTGTCATCTTTTCAGTTTTAAATTACATGTTCGATTAATTGAGATTTGTTTGTTGGTAATATCAGTTGAAACTAACTCAACGGATCTAAAAATTAAAAACTCAACCAAAAGCTGAAATCAAAAATAGAAACTTAAAAATTAAAATCCAAAAAATCAAAATCTAAAACAAAATCTAAAAATAAAAATTGAAACTAAAAACTAATGAAAAACAATCATCACCACAAATTTTGGTGAACTGATTTTATACCAAAACATTCTTTAAATTAAGACAAAACCCCAATTATATAAATTTTTAATCATAAAAAATTTGGGTAATATCAGTTCAAACTAACTCAGCGGATCTAAAAATTAAAAACTCAAACCAAAAGCTGAAATCAAAAATAGAAACTTAAAAATTAAAACCAAAAATCAAAATCTAAAACAAAATCTAAAAATAAAAATTGAAACTAAAAACTAATGAAAAACAATCATCACCACAAATTTTTGTGAACTGATTTTATACCAAAACATTCTTTAACAAGACCTCAATTATATAAATTTTTAATCATAAAAAATTTGGGTAATATCAGTTCAAACTAACTCAGAGGATCTAAAAATTAAAAACTCAAACCAAAAGCTGAAATCAAAAATAGAAACTTAATAATTAAAACCCAAAAAATCAAAATCTAAAACAAAATCTAAAAATAAAAATTGAAACTAAAAACTAATGAAAAACAATCATCACCACAAATTTTGGTGAACTTATTTTATATCAAAACATTCTTTAAATAAGACAAAACCCCAATTATCTAAATTTTTAATCATAAAAAATTTCCTCAAAATCTAGTTGTATTTACAGGTTAATCAGTTGACTAGTAAACCGGGCCAGTACACTGACAAAATGTTAGATTTGGATCAATTCAAAACGGGCCTAATTAGTACCCTTGTAGTCTCTTGCAATGGCTTCCTGTTCTTGCATTTTTCTCCTCTCCTCCTCAGATTCAATAGTATATCCTTATCAAACCAAACTCTACCCACAGTTTAATTTGCAGCAAGTAGCAACCAATAGTTTCATGCACATCTTGGACTTTTAAGTGTGCAGCAACATATAGTTTCATGGCTTCTAGTCTTGCCTTAATCTATCTTGAAACTGTTGGTTGATGCGCAGTGTCTCTCTCCAAACAAGATGAATATACTTTTTTGAATTTGAATGTGTGTTTATAGGTGATTTGAACATAAAAGTTTCAGAATCAGAAAGTTGAATAGAGATCCATCGATCTTGAGACTGGTCAGTTTGTAGAAGTAGTTGAGTGGTGACGCAGCAACTCAGGGATCTTGACTCTGTTTTGAGAATTCTCATGGTCATGGAAACCAGACTTTCAGATGCTTATTAGAGAATATGCTTACGACTAATTGGTGTCATTCCACTTGTTCTCAAAAATCTCAAACAAGAGGTCAAGGAGTAACACCATTAAAATTAAAGCTGCATAGAGCGAACAAGAACACACCAAAAAGTTTGTTAGTGGTCGGAGATGATCAATATACTGGATGATCGATCTCTAAATTTGTAAGCAGAACAAGATACAAGATACTTTTTTTTCTTTAGTTATTTACCTCTGAAACCAGTGACTGATTCTCTTCATAGGTGTTAGCTTTGACAACATTTGAAAGATAACTAAAAAATAAATGTGTAATTTTGTGTACATTAATTATAAACATGGTTGTATAAGTAACTTAAACCTAACTATCTGGGAGAGATGATAGAGAAGTTATTCCTTATGTCGAACTCATTGTGATTTTTTTTTGTCAATATCAAATGTGATATTTCAAAGATAATATGCATAATCAATCTCATAGAGAATATGAAAAAGAAAATAGATTTGATGTTAGAAGAAAAAGACAGACTGGAGAGGCAAACTCAAATTTAAAACTACTAGTAGTTATCAAGGAGGGGCTCTGAGTGTTAACAATTCCACTTGAGGTCAGCAAGATTGAAAATTGAGGTTTCGTTGAGATCCAAGATTACGACATGGTTAGGATACATGTCAGGAAAAGAGGTAGATGGGAGACAGAAAGGTTCAGACTTTGTGATGAAAATGCAGAGATGTCCAATATCGTGAGTGTAAACAGCACTTCCTTTGTCATCTAGCTTGAACACCATTACAGCTTCTGTTTTTACCCTCGCAGTACCACCGTCAATGGTCTTCTTGTACAACTTAACCAAAAAAATTTCACCCGTGGTTCTTGACTCCACCAAATGCTCGCTCTTGCAGCACGTGTCTAGAAGCGCTTTGTTGTCACTGCTCATGAAGGGAATCTTTCTGAACCGCAACCTCCGAAACTTGGGGTTTTTGTCAGGTTTTTTGAGATCCCACGATCCCATTAGGTGACCTCCAGATCCAGGAATGAGAAACACGTCATCTTTCTTGGAATACATAACATGGGAAGATAAGAAGCTAGGGTTTTGGATTCTGATGTCGATCCACTCTGAGTTTGGTCTGAAAAAACTGAGCTGAGGTCCCAAGAACTTGACAGCCACAACACAATCCTCTTCCTCGGGACAAGTTGAGGACATAGCCACGTTGGTCACGACCTGTGTTTGGCAATAAGGAAGAGTCACAAGAGGTGGCAGAGATATACGTTTTGGGTTTAAATCATTGTCTTGGAAACCAATCACGCCATCATTCAAAGTAGTTAGCCATCCATTGGATGATCCTATCGTTCCCATTTCGTTTGTAGGCTTTTCCAGAGGAGTGATGTCACCAGCCTTCCTAATCACGAGTTTTCCGAGATCATCTCCACAGGGATCAACGTACATGATGACACAAGGAGGAGCCTGCGGCAAGCAAGAAGATGAGAAGCCGTTAGAGTGAATAGGAGGACAAGATCTTACAAAGACTGAGACAGGTTTCTGAAAGAAGTAGATCTTCGAGGGCTCGCTCAGAAGCAGACGCATGGTTCTTGAAAAAAGGGGCAAGTGAATTAATTAAGAGAAAACAAAAAAATACCTAATTGAAGAGTCGTTGATGTTCACATCTAAAAGTCTACTACATTAGTACAGAGTAAAACACTTGCTCAGCAAGTTACCCCATTTCAATTAATTATTGTCTTTATGTAGACTTTTTTCTTTTCCAAGAGTCCTTCTCCACTTTACCATATAACTCTCGTTAACTTACCTTTTACTTACATTTCCTATTTTTAATGCTAAATAGACATCTCTGTATTTTGTAATTCCAAATTTACTACTCCTTGAACAGGGGACCCGAACCACTAATGTGGATAATTTTGATGTATGACTGCGATTTGTGCCTCACGGAACCAATAAGTGGGTGATGACTATGCTGTCTAACAGTTTAAAACACTTAAAAAAAAAAACAGTTTAAAACAACTGGATCTGCTAAAGTAGGAGATTCTTTGATCTTATTATATAAAGTTTGGTTTTTCAAACTTACTAATTAACGCGACTGTGACACGTGGCAATTATATACTTAAGATTGTGACATGTGTTAAACTATTTCATAATTAAATATATATATATATATATATAGATAGATAATAACAAAAATATTAATTTTGTTAAAAATATTAGAATATTCTCTAAGAGTAATTTTCTATTTTCTAAAATCCTAAACAAAATATATTTACAAAAAAATTATTTGAGAGTAATGATAGTAATTTTCCTTTTAATATTGTGACATGTATTAAATATCTCATGATTACAAATATATGTATATTAAGATAAAACGAATTTTGAAGAATTTTTTTTTAAAATAAAATTGTTAAAAAGTAAAAAACAGGTCAATAATGTTTAATTGTAGTTTTTCTTTTTACAATTTTAGAAGGAATACCAATATTCTTTTTCTAAAATCCTAAAGAATAGATAATTGTAAAAGAGTATTAGATAATAATTTTCCTTTCCAAAATTTTACATCTGTTAAAATATCTCATGAGATATATAATAAGATATTAAGTATGATTTATTTAATATTAATTTTCCTTTTCTTAAATCCTAAAGGAAAGATAAGAAAATATTTGGTAGTAATTGTCTTTTTTTTTTAATCTTCAACATAAGAAAATTGTAAAAGAGTGTTTAACTATAGTTTACTTTCAAATCCTTAACAAAAAATATATTTGTAGGATAATTATTTCAAATATATTTTTCTAAATAATCAACTTTTCTATTTAAATATTTAATTTTATGATTAAAAATCTTAAATCAAAAGGAATTACAATTATTCACATCTATACATCAAACAGAAAATAAATAGAATGTTTTCCTTTTTTTAATCCTAAAAACAAATAAAAATTTAGAAACTTATTTAATAGTAATTAAAAAGTGATTAAAAGCATAAACTAAAACAGTTTAATTAACAAAAATCAAAAATTAGTATGTTATCGTGTTAGTCTTTATATGCGTTTGGTCATACAAAAATCAAACACATGTGATCTTTATTATTATTATTACCATAAGTGATCTTTATATGTGTTTGGTCAAAAAAAAAATTAAGCTTCACCTTCATCTTATTACATTTTTTGTTTTATATGTAGTAATTTTTCTAATTAATTTTTAGTTAAATTGATATTATGAAAATATATTATGAAAATAATGAATTAAGACAATTATTTAATAAATGATAAGTTTAATAAAAAGGCTTTATTATTACTAGAAATTGAGAAGCAATAAATTTAAAAATAATTATAAAGTACACATAGGAAAAAAAAACTACAAATTCAAACTAGAAAACACTAAATAAATTGTTTGAAATACTATAACTTGAATACCATATTTCAATACCTATTCAAAGAAAAATACCATAACATCTGAGTTTAAGATTTAGTACTTTCTGTTTATGTCTCAATATTTAAGGAGTTTGGGGTTAAGTTCATAATATTATATAAAGTTTTCAAATGAGTATAGGATTTAGTACTAACGGTTGAGGACTTAATATTTAAGGAGTGAGGTTGAATTTATAAGATTATATAAAGTTTCCAAATGATATATATGATATTAAATGTCATAAAGTTAAAAACTAAATTGGTAGAATTTGTTAATTACCTTCTCCAACCTTATTACAGCATATCTAATTATATAAAGTATAGTTTGCTCCCTCCTGCCTCTGCCACGTCATTAAATAAGAGAAGGAGGGAGTGACACATATCCATACGGTGCGTTTTACTTTATGTCCAAAGTTCACATTATGTGGGCTTGCACTTAAACACAGTAACTCCCGAGTCCAACAGCCAGGCCCTTTCATTTACCTCTTCTCAGTTCGAAGCCGAAATTAGGGTTCATCGTTCTCCTCAAGCTCTGAATAATCTCATTTTTTCTTCTTTTAGTTATTTGTTGCTGATCCGTTTTAGTTTCCTTCATCTCCCTACCTTAACACGAATTACTAAATAGATTCTTTATTATCTTCAGTTTCCTGAATCTACAGCTATAAATAGATGATTTTCTCCCTGTAAAATTCATTATTCATATTGATACAAATTTTTTTTGCAGATTAGGATGGCAAGCTACTCTCTCATATTTTGGTGTAGACTCTGGTTCGATGTTGAAAAGAACGTCGAGATCCATCAATCTTCGATCTACACTAGCCAAAGCCATGAGTCGTCCCAGGGAGATCGACCCGGTTAAGATAAATCAACAGACAGTGAACAAGTGTTCCGGTTGCCGGAAGAAGGTTGTGTTTTCCGGGTTCAGGTACCGATGCTGTGACCTTTAATGTGCCTAGCACCGTTACTCAAATCACCGTGGTTGCAGCTACAACTATAAAACCACTGGCCGGTCGTGAGGCAATGGTCACAGTTTAAGCAAAAAAAAAAAAAAATGTTCAATCGTGTTTAGGTTCCAATATACAGATCAGCCAGAGAGATGCTCGGAGGCATTGCTTTGATGTTATCTGCTTTGTAATGAAATATCAGAGAGATTTTCTGGTCGATTAAATCAGCAACCAATTTTTTTCCACTTTACTATTGTTAATGATGATTGTTATTGTAGCTTTACAGAGTCATGAATTTTCTTTGGATGTGATCTTCTCGCTAAGCAAAGCCAAGTTTCGAATGGTATGTGTAAAAAAATTAGGTAACAATGAAGGGTGATTTGATAATTTAGGCAATTGTGTCTAAAAAGATTAGCTGTGTCTATCACGATGTCATCGTGCGTTACTTACAAATCACATCCCCTCAAGACAAGTTTGTTTGGCGTATAAAAGAGCGGCCACTAACGTGCTTGAGTTCTATATAACAAAATTTACTCATTCTTGAAAAGAACAATTTGTAAGTAAACTGAATTTTTGATAGAAGACAATTGGAATGGNCGGCCACTAACGTGCTTGAGTTCTATATAACAAAATTTACTCATTCTTGAAAAGAACAATTTGTAAGTAAACTGAATTTTTGATAGAAGACAATTGGAATGGTTCAAGAGAGATGCCAGTATCTGAAATTAAATTATTACAGTTAATTTATTGTAGGCAAGAAGATGATAAGAGTGGTGGGAAGGGGTTGCACAAAAAAGAAAAAAAAAGAGTGGTGGGAAGGGAACAATATTAGGCGATTTGATATTAGTGGAAAACTAATGGAACTAGGTGATTTTTCCGTGCTCATGCACGGGTATGAATATTCATAAAAATAAAATTTTATAAGAATTGATTGATATTTACTTTTATTTTTGAATCATTTTATATGTATAACTTATATTAATAAATATTATATTATTCTAATTATACAAATGATTTTGGATATGTTATTGTCAATTTCATTATTTTTTGATCAATAGTCGGTTTGGTTATCAATTTGATATATTGAATAATATCTATTTTTCGAGTTCAGCTATAATGTTTTTTTCTAAATATAATAAAATTTTGTTTAATTTTCTTATTTTTATTTCGGTTGGTTATTGTCTTAGATATGTAAATATATTCTTAGATATGTAAATATACTATGGTTTAATTATGTATAACTTAATATATATTGTGCTTAAAATTAAATATATAATAAGCTAAAGTTTTTGATTCAAAATTACATAAATGAATATAATAATAATATTTTGAAGTCTCAGCATATATATAAATTCTACAAAAGAATTAAATTGTAATTGGTTAATATTTTATTTTTAATATGTTTTGAATCAACCTCTAATTTATATGTGTAAAATTAAATATATTATTATTATTATAATAAATTCTATTTTCTTATTTTATTTGGATGTTTAATTTTGGATATAAATTAGATTAGTCGAGTCATTCATTTTGTGAGTCTATTGAATTAAATATATTTTTAAATTAAAACTGATGTATAATTACTTTTTATTTTAGTTGAGTCAAATCAAATTAGTTTTATGTGTCGCTTAAATATACATGTATTTTCATAATCTTTATTTACTCTTTATTTTAGTTAAGTCAAATCAAATTAGTTTTATTTATCGCTTAAATATACATGCATTTTCATAATATTTATCAAATTATATGTCAATTTCTAAAAAATATTAGAAAGTAAAGTGTAACTGATAAATTTTTGGATGTTCATGAACATATATATTTTTATTATTTTGAAATATATTTTATGTTATTTAAAAATATATATTAATGGGGGTATTACTATTTTGTAAACTTTTCTTTTTAATAAAGACATATGTATATATATTAATGGGGGTATTACTATTTTGTGAACTTTCCTTTTTTAATAAAGTCATATTATATACATATAATTTCGTGTTAAAATTTTAGAAATATTTCTTTTTTATTATATATATTTGGAAAAAGATTTAAAAAAACTAAATAAAAGAATTTAATAACAATCTTAAAATCTAACAATTCATTAAGGGTATTTATGTAATCAACCATCGCGAGAGTTAACGTGAACGCGACACGTAGGAAAGTGACTTCTCAAATAATATTATAGAGATGGTTATGTTTTAAAACCTTTTTTTTAAGAATCTGGCGCACAAGAAAATTGCTCACTGTTGTAAAAAAATACCTGTCCACCTTGAGCATAGTCCTTGATCAAACCATTCCAAGAGAAACATTCCTCTGGCATTGACCATCACAAAAGCTAACCCATTAAACATAGCATTCTAAACAGAGCCACTTGGTTAAGAGATTCTGTCAAACAATTGGTGAGCGTAAGCGATGCTTAGTGATCCAACATCAAGCGGTGACGATTCACAGACCGACATAATCATTGTGTTCAAACCCATGAGTTAAAATTTGTGACTGGATTTGAAGAAGTTATTTATGGGTCTTACATACATGATTCTGAGAAAGAGATGAGTTTCTCAGTACTTTTTATTAACTTTCACAAGATTATAAAGAGTACCGAGAGAGAGAGAGAGTCACCAATGGCAATCAGATAACGGAAGTATACAAAGAAGACACAACTTGAATACATAAGTCAACACCTTCTCATGCATTTACAAGGTTTTAAAAATATAGCTTCTTCTTTTTTTCTAACAACTAGAGCATGATCCGCGTTGGGGTTCTGCTTTTTTACTTTTCTATAAATTATTTAATAATATTTTCAAATGTATAAGTTATTTAGATATTTTTTTGGTTTTTACGATTCTATTCGGGATCTAGAAGGATTCGACTCAAATTCCTTTTGAAAATTTATAACATTCGAATTGAGTTTAATTTAAAGCCAAAAAACTCGATATCCAAAAAAATTGATTTGTACTTGGATGCTCATATCTAACAGATTTTGTAACAAATAATTATTTTTTGTTAAAACATAAAATTGATGTTGAATTACTATAGTAAGTACAATTAATGAATTAATTAGGAAGTGTGAAAAAAAATGTAAGAAAAAGTAAGTGTTACTTTATACTTTGTAACAATTGTTGTAGAATTAATTAGAAAAAGCAATAAATAAAATGGTTATAATTAATGTTATAAAAAATGGTTATAATTAATTAGAAAAGAAAGTAAAATCTGTAAGAAATCACTTACAAATATGCAAGTATTATGTTGTAGTTCATTTTAATAGAATAAATACAGCTGATTTACCCTTCGATTGTATTATTTCACTTACGACAAAACATTCTAGACATAAAGTTTTTTTTTTCGAACTGGTTCTACACAGAATGTTTTTTTTTCTTTTACACACAAAATTTACATTGAAGTTTGATGTTTTATGAATATATATATATGTGTTGACATAAAATAACTGCAAACTGCTAACAATTAACAAAACAACTTAATAAATAATCAAAACCTATTTAAAAAAATAGAAAAAGAAAAAAATAAAAACATTAAAATTTCGATACCTACATATTATAACCAAAATACATAGTATAAAAACAATACTTAATTTCAGAGATATATTTAAGAAATCATAAGAATGCAAAATAATAGAATCCATTAACAATGTTCTTTTCACGTTTTTGTTTGAACTAGCTTTCATTAATTCTTTTATGTTTCATCAAAGCATCGTCCNAAAATACATAGTATAAAAACAATACTTAATTTCAGAGATATATTTAAGAAATCATAAGAATGCAAAATAATAGAATCCATTAACAATGTTCTTTTCACGTTTTTGTTTGAACTAGCTTTCATTAATTCTTTTATGTTTCATCAAAGCATCGTCCATAAATCAAAAAGAATGGATCTAACAGTAACAGTTGTTTTTTTTTATGATTTCATCATTAAACTCAAGTTACAAGAAACTAACAAAATATTAAAGATACACAACAAAAAATTAACAAACAATTTTAAAAAGATATAAAAAACAATTGTGGTACAGACTAAAACAAGTAAATAAATTAAACAAAATAACAGAAATGATAAGAATATTAAAGAAACTATATGTAAATAAATGTAATTATGTTATGGATTAAAAAGTATAAATTATTATGCAAATAATATGTATATATTTGAAAAGTCTGAATAAAAACGCAATAAATGTGAAAATGTAAGAGTATATATGAAAGTAGAAGATATAAAACTAAACAAACTAAATCACTATTGACATTATCACAACTGAAATTAAATATTGTAACATCAACAAATTTTAAGCAAAAAAAGAATAAAATTAAATAAGAAGAACAATCACAAAAATAATAATTTAAATAACATATACACCTATTCCGCGCGAAGCGCGGACCGACCCTAGTAAAAAATAATTTATTTATTTATTTATTTAAAGATTTATCACCACAAAATTGTAGTTAAGAAGTTATGTTTTCTTATAAACAGTTATTCACATAATCATTATTCAGAAATATATTCTTTAATATGCACATAAATTTTTGTGGCTATAAGATGCATGTATTGATGGTTTCTTTATCATTAACTACATGATAAAAATGATAATCCAAAATAATTTATATGGTTGAATAATAAAAAAATCATAAAAATAGTAAACTAAAATATAGATGATCACAAATGAATAAAATATTTCAAAGATCTTACAATGACAATACAAATTTTATTAAATAACCAAGCAACATTAGAATATATTTAAATTAACAATAAGAATAACATATAGTAAGTTAAGAAAACATTAAATTATTACATAAACATGTGTATGATGTTATCATTGTCTCAATTGACCTTATTTTTCTTTCAATTCTTTTATTTCACTATAAATCTTATTTAAGGTTGGATTGGTTTAAATTTTTAGATATGAATATTTTCTCTAACCATGAGTACAAAGTTAACAACAGTTCACTTAGCGTGATGATTATTAAAATAATATTAACTGGAATTTATGGGAAAATAAATTTTTAATTTTGAAATAAATCTCACACAACATATGTAAAAAAAATCATAAAAATATAAACTATTTTTAATTATTATGTTCTTTGTAAAATTAAAACATCAATCAAAAGCAGTGCTTATTAAAATACAAATATGAACTAAAACTTAAGTGGTAAAATTAGTTCTAAATTCTAAAAAATTTCACACAACATATGCCAAAAAAATCCTAAAATTAGAAATATTTTATTATTTTTATATTCTTAAAAAACCTGCCCGGACCTATATCTAGTATAAAATAAAAGCTGACTAATCCTAAATTGTTAAAGGAAATATATCTATGTAAAAGACTCAAAGTCAAAATTCCAAACTAGTAATCTTTGATTAATTTTTTTGGGAACTGCTAAACTAGATCCTTGACTTTGGGAACGTATCTGGTTGTATCAAGTCTGTTAACAGTGTTCCAGTAAGAGGTCTTTAAGAACTCAAGAATAATTTTGCACAGTTTGTGTCAATGATTATTTCTTGGTTTGAACAGTGAAGCCTGGCAAGATCAAGCATTGGATTACACTAAACTGTTTATGAAGGATATATATATATATATATATTAAAAAAAAAGATAACTAATCCTAAATTGCTATATGCATATCAATCTCACAGAGAGAATATATAAAAATAGACTTGAAGTCTCTAATCCTTAACAATTAATTTTTTTTAATTTGAGGTGGAATGTAAAAAGGAGCCTTGAATCCGTCTCTAAAAACTCTACTATGGCAAATGGTGACACGTTTCATACAGGCATATGCTGATTCGTCGACATCGAAGACTTGGACGCAGCTAGCGAGCAAGCCAGGAAAGGAGCTAGCGTTAACACAGAAAGGTTCAGACTTTGAGAGGAAAACGCAGTCATCTTCAATGTCACTAGTGAAAAAAGCGAATCCATCATCGGGTACGATGAACACCACTAAAATCTCTGTTTTCATTTTGGGAATACCATTGATGACCCTAGCCATCTTTCTGTACCTCTTAATCAAGAAAGTTTCACCAGTGGCTTTTGACTCCACCAAATATTCGCTTGTGTAGCAAGAATCTAGTAGGTCTCTTTTGGCCTTGCTCAGCTCGGGAAAGGAGAGAAAAAACACCCTCTGCAACTTGGGGCTCTTGCTATGTTTGTGGAGATCCCATGATCCGATGAGGTGGCCTCCAGATCCAGGTATGCGAAACATGTCGTGTTTCTCGGAATACATAACAGGGGAGGAAAAGAAGCAAGGGTTTTCGATTCTGATGTTGGTCCACTCGGGGTTACTATCACCGGGTCTGCACAAGCTTAGTTGAGGTCCCAAGAACTTGACAGCCACAACACAGTCTTCATCCTCAGGTGAAGGTGAGGACATTGCCACGTTGGTGACCACTTGAGTTTGGCAATGAGGCAGAGTTACAAGGGGAGGCAGTGAAATACGTTTCGGGTTTGTATAAGATGCAAGGGGATTTAGATCGTCATGCAGACGCACTATTCCGTCTTCCTTCAATGTAGCTATCCATCCATGAGATGCCCCTATGGTTACCATTGGATCAAACAACTCCATTGGTACCTTCTTTTCCATATAACTTGGGTAACGCAAATCACTATTTAAAATGAGGGGTCTTCCCACATCTGCTCCACAAGGTTCCACGTCGACAATGCGAAAAGGGAGAGTATGCGTCATGGAATAAGATGATAAGCCATCAAAGTCACGAGAAGAAAAACATCTTACAACGACAGGTTTCCGCCAAAGGTTTGAGGGCTGGCTGAGAAGCAGAGACATGGAATTATATATAAGAATAATGAATGTACTTCGAGAAGAAGAAACCCCTAATTCAGAAAGCCCCTCCTTTGATAATTATGATATAGAGGAAGTGACTTGCTCACCAAGTTTCCCATCGAAATAACTATATATGGTCTTTAATGTTGTATATTCCTTTTACCATAATTCTCTCATTAACTTTCCCAGTTTACGTTTTCCATTTCCTACTTTATTAAAAAAAAATTATTTATTTAAATAAACAAGTCAAAGATGGAACCGATGTGCCAAAGGGAAGATGCATCATCATGCATAGAAGCAGAAGGAAATAGTCATATAACATAACAACATCCTTCACTTTTTAAGACAAATACTCTTTAGTGTGCCAGCTTGTCTTGATGTTATTTTCAGTGGCCTTAAAGATCAAAGAAGTGGAGAAATGTGTTTTATTTGAATGTTTTAACTTATACAAAACAAGAGCCTTCACTCTCACATATAGTTGATATTTCTATTGTTTTTATTTGGTTTTCTCATAACCTGACATATATATATATATATATTATAGTTTTCCTAGTTAATCTGTGTGTTTTGAATCTGCTGCGTTAACGTAGAGCCTTGGTCCTGTGTTCATATTGCTATTGTCTAATTAAGGACTCGATCTTGCCATCAAAACTCTTGGCACAGAAACATTCTTTTGTAAGATCATCTACTCATCTCTCCAACGGCTTCTTACTTATCTTCTTTGCTGCAGACTCCATCTTCTTTGTGCTTGAATGGTCATTACTCATTTATCTGATTCTACTAAACAGACACAGCAAATATATATGGTAACAAAAAGAAAATCCAATATAGGTCTTCCATGTTATAGATCTCTTACTAGGACAGACTAACAACAATCTCACTGCTAGAGAACTCCAAAAAGAGTATCTCACATGCTAATAAATATTTTTCAATATAATTTCATCAATATTTTAACAAAATCTAGACTCAAACCCAAGACCAAGTACCGGAGGAACAATCGAAAGATTCTAAGGGGGTCTGCCTTGAACAATTCCACTTTTGATCAGACAGCTTGAAAAATTTGTCTTCATCTATATCAAAGATTTTGACGCGGTTAGGACGGCACAGGGTAGGAGAGAAGCTGGAAGGGAGACAGAAAGGCTCAGATCTTGTGAGGTAAATGCAGAGATCTCCAATGTCCTGAGTGTAAACAGCGTTCCCTTCATCGTCCAGCTTGAACACCATCAAAGCTTCTGTTCTCAAATTCGCGGCCGTGCCGAACATAAAACTGGCGAACTTCCTGTACAGCTTAACCATGAACATTTCGCCGGTGGGTTTTGACTCCACCAAGTGTTCGCTCGTGCTGCACGAGTCCAGGATGTCTCGTTTGGTCTTTGACAGTTTTGGAAGGTTTTGAAACCGCAATGTCTGCAATTTTGGGAGGGGGTTGTGGTGATCCCATGATGCGATGACGTGGCCTCCAGCTCCAGGAGTGAGAAACACGCCATGTTTCTTGGAAAATATGATAGGGGAAGAGAAGAAGCTAGGGTTTTCGATTCTTACGTTGATCCACTCCTCCTTGGAGTTATTGGGTCTGCAGAAACTGAGCTGAGGCCCCAAGAACTTGACAGCCACAACACAATCCTCTTCCTCGGGAAAGGTTGAGGACATGGCCACGTTCGTCACGACCTGTGTTTGGCAATGAGGCAGAGTTGTAAGAGGAGGCAGAGGGATGCGTTTCGGCTCTGTTATTAGATCAGTGTCTCGTAGATGCATCGCACCGTCTTTTAGAATAGCTATCCATCCATTGGATGATGCTATCTTTCCCATTTCCCACATCAGTTTTGCGCACTCCTTTCTTTCAGAACGAGTGACGGACAAACTTTTTGTCATGAACAGGACTTTTTTACAATACGGTCTACAAGGATCATTGCAGACGATGACAGGAGCCATTTGCCTCAAGGTAGATGATGATGATAAGCCATCAGAGAGATGAGGAGAGGATCTTACCAACCAAGGTTTCCGAGAGCAGAGATTCAATGGCGACATGATGTTTTTCTTTTTTAAGAAATATCCTAGTTAAAGAATTGTGTTATATTATGTTCACATCTTCACCATTAATAAAGAGGACTTGCCCACCAAGCTTCCTATCTCCAGAATTAATTGTTTATATTTTTCTTTCCCAAAAAGTCATTGTTGTGTGGTCGGTTCCCCCACAATACCATAATTCTCTCATTTACTGCAACTTACTTTTTTCATTTCCTACTTCAAAATCAAATTAACTTTATTCTAATCCGTGTTTAAAATCGTAGAAATATTTTTTTAACAAAATCTAATCTCCTCTATATTAAATATTTAAAAAGTTATAACATGTAGTTTGTATTAATCAAAAAAGTGTCATGTCGAGTTATCACGTAATTGGAATGTTAATTTCGTTTATGTGACAACTTGAGAATCAATTGAAAAATTTGTTAGTGCAAAATTAAATTGCTAGAAAATGTTATATTATATAATATGTTCATTTTGGACCATTCATTTATCAAATTGAAATTTATTATATATTATAACCTTAAATAAAACCTACAAAATTACTTAATGTGATTAAGATATATATAGTAATTAATAATTTTAAATAATTAATATTTTTTTAACAATTTATACATTTTCTATAATTTTTAAAAAATTATTTATTATTATAATAAATTACACAATTACATAAATCATATAATAAAATTAAGATTTTTTGTAAATGTTGCATTTTTAATTTTTTAAAATACGTATAAATTAATAAAACTGTTACAAATCTCACATAAACATTTGTGATCAATGTTTTATTTTTTTTTTCTATAATAAGATACAATGATTATAAAATCATATGAATAAGTAATTTTAATTTAATAGGTCTTTATGTTAATATATATATATAATATCATTTAAATTAAACTATACATCATATGAAAATACATACTTATATTTTGAGCAACCTGCATCACTTTGTTGGAGCTGAGGAAGAACCTGAACCAATAAGAAGAAACCAATATGATATCATTAAATAATACTTATCACAATTACATCTATTCATGGCTACTAACCCTCCATTGTGCCTAAACTGTTGTCTGAACTCCTTGAATTTGATGTTTCTCATGTTTTCAAACGAGAAAACATAGACATATGAATATTTATCCACAGCCTCTCTCATGGGATCAGTACGGACTGACGAGAAACAAGGTCAGAGAACCGCCAAAAATTTATTAAATCAAATACACCTATTTACCAACCCCTAGTAAGTAATTGTAGTTCATTTGACTTGCATGTTTCTTAAAAAGTGAATTAAAACTGAAAGGTGTTAGAGATATACAATATGTTTTAGTATTCTAAGGCTATCTTTTGAATTCAACCTAGAAAAAAATGTTATAAAATACACAAAGATGATAGTGTAGAAAAGTTAAAAGACAATTTTTTATTTCTAAAAAAGAGAAAATTATAATTACTTGACTCTGCATACATAGAAGTTTCATGAAGGATTGCTGTTCGAGATTCTTTTTAAACATACGATTAAATATTTAACAAGTGTGTTTTTATTTGCTTTTCATTCTAATTGTAACATAAATGATTTAAATTTTCCAAAACTATTCACTTCAGATTAATGACTCTAAAAGTAAATGTATAAGATTAATTAAAAAAAAATCTTTACTTAATCTATACAAGAATTAATATTAAGAAAAACGTAAACTATTTTGACATCGAATATGTAATCAAATGTTTTTCAAGGAAATAACATGAGATCATTTGAAACTCTCACAACATATCAATATCATAACTCTTCAATATAGAAATGACTGTTGTAGATAAGCAAAATATATATTATCACATATAATCTTTTCTCAAACAAAGTTATCATATACATTTTTGCAAATGTAAACCTAAACAACAAACCACAAAATCATATAAAAGTAGTAATTTGTCCCTTAGTTGTATTTTGTTATGCCTCTATAGTTGAATTCTTGTGTGGAAACTGATAAGCTTTTTGTATGACATTGAATTGGTTATTGATAAGTAATTGTTGAGTTAAAAAAAGTAGTAATTTTTATCACAAGGAAAGTATATCCCGCCGTAAGGTGAGTCGATCCTAGTAATCAAATAAAAGGATGTATTAATTAAGAGTAAACTAATAAATTTAATAAAAATTAATTTGTGTGAAAAAATCTAGGACAATGTATAAACAAAAACGAATGGAGTAACTAATAAACAAAGTCAAATATTTTCATCTAAAAGTGCTTCTAAATCAAAAGTCAACACCAACGTTTTGATTTCGTTATGCTAACCCAAGACAAACCCAATGATGTTCAGATACTCTAGCTGGATATGACGATTTCACTAGATACACCCTTTGATTTATCCCAGAGATCTTCAAGAGGTATAAACTTGAGGAAACTGATTCTCTTGTGAGGGAATAAAACAAAACCAAGACATAACTTCACTGAGACTAAAAGAACACAAAGACAGTTTGTTAATGGTCGGAGATTATCACTATACTTTGATGATCGATCACTAAATTTGTTCCACTCCACTGAAACCAAGGCTTGATCCCCTTCAGTCGATTTTGTTGACGTTTAAAATCTTCTAAAAGATGAAGATCACAATGATTGTATTTACAAGGTAACAAGAAGTATCATCCATTACTTAGAAATATAAGTATCGTGCACTATCCTTATGTCATGACTTAATTGGGGACCCCATTCTTGATTTTCTTCAGCATCTTATCATGGATGGGCCTAATCAGTAGAGCTTGCAGTTCAAATAAAATTTCACATAAAAAAGGAAGGATTGCTTTTGTGAGCACAACCGAGGTCCTCACAACATCGGTGTAGAAATAACGTAGTTACTAGTTGATAATCCGCGCATTTTCGCGGGATGAGTTTTAGTTACTAACAACTACTGTATATTAATTTTATTTTTTCTGAAATACTTATAATTGTCATAAATTTAAAAGGTGTTACATGTTGTGGACCTATACTATGATGATGTTGCATATCAGGTCAAAGTGTTGATAAACTGGTTTCATAAAAACTCAATTAATTAAACATTAAACCTAAAACAATACGTAAGAAAATCTGTTTATGGTTCACTCGTTTACCGTATATATAAATGACAAACATTAAACGTGCTGACTTATGATCGAAAAGAGAATTAGGATTTTGGTTGATCTTTGACTTCTTGTTTAAATCTACAACATTTTTTTATAATAACTTTACGTTAACTCACATTTGTTATGTCTTTGTTTTAATTTCGTGCAAGCTTTCTTGGCAAACATGAGATTCAATCGGTTGAGAAATTAATTTGATGAATGTGGACAGGTTTAGAAAGACATGTCAGGATAAATCCAACTAATAGGTATAAGAAATCAAAGAAGAAGAAAATTCTCAGATGCAAACAAATTACTTTGATATGTTATTATTTTGTTTTATGGTCATTTACATATTATGTAATAACAAACATATTGAATTATTGTGAATCGAGTAAATATTATATACATAGTTAAACTTAAGTAAGCTCATAAATCAAAGTAAATAAATCAAAACAATCATTTTATTTATTTTATATGATATATAATTAAATTTAAATGATATTGACATAGATATATAGTATATTTTAATATGAATGTATAATTCAAACTTCTTAGTTCATACTCATAATATTTTATTAACATTGGTATATTTGATGTAACAAAAATATCATTAATCACAAAATTTTCAGTGTAAAACTTTTTATACTTTTAGTAATTTGTAATCGTTCTAAAAAATTCAGTGCAAATTTTAAAATTTAAATATTCAGGATACAATAATTTTTCAATGAAAATTTCAGATTACCATATATGTATTTATATGGTTTATAGTTTAATTTAAATACCTTTTTAAGTATATACATATATTTAATCTGAATATCTCGTAAATGATACTTAACATTCATATGGTTTTTTGATTATTTGTATCTTTTTATAAAAACAATAAATAAAATTCTTGTTCACAAATTTTTCATTATAAGACTTTTAACAGTTTCAGTAATTTATTTTTGTTTTAAAAATTTCAAAATAGATCATATAAGAAAATAAAATCTAGGATTTGTATAATATGGTTAATGTGATTGTTTAATTTCTTTAAAAATATAAATTAAACAAAAATAATGGAGGATACAAAAACTATTGATTTTTTTTTTTTTTTTTTTTTGAAACACACAAAAACTATTGATTATTTGTATCTTTTTATAACAAAAAAATAAAAATTTTGTTCACAAAATTTTCATTGTAAGACTTTTAACGGTTTTAGTAATTTATTTTTAATATAAATTAAACAAAAATAATGGAGGATACAAAAACTATTGATTATTTGTATCTTTTTATAAGAAAAAATAAAAATTTTGTTCACAAAATTTTCATTGTAAGACTTTTAAAGAAAAAAAAATATTTTTATAATATGGTTAATGTGATTTTTTAATTTCTTTAATAATATAATTTAAACAAAAAGAATGGAGGATACAAAAACTATTATCAAATCTGTGTTATTCAGAATCATTAATTGTTGTATATATGTTTATATTAAGTGATTCTGTAATTTTTATTTAAGAAAATAAATGAGAATATTCTTTTATGCATTATTAATCAATTTAATAGTTAATTTAATAAAAATATAATATATAGTTAGATGGACCAACCTATTTTCTAAGAGCAACATTATCGGTGGTTCCTTAGCGTTGTCCCTTAGCGGGAAAGTCCCTTAGCTTTTAACTAAAAATGCTAAGGGACATCCGTAAAGTCCCTTATTTAAGAATTTTCAAAATATATCATATAAGTTAATTAATCATATAAGAAAAAAAATCTAGATATTTTTATAATATGGTTAATGTGATTTTTTAATTTCTTTAATAATATAAATGAAACAAAAAGAATGGAGGATACAAAAACTATTATCAAATCTTTGTTATTCAGAATCATTAATTGTCGTATATATGTTAATTATATTAGTTAATTCTATAGTTTTTATTTAAGGAAATAAGTGAGAATATTCTTTATGCATTATTAATCAATTTAATAGTTAATTTAATAAAAATATAATATATAGTTAGATGGACCAACCTATTTTCTAAGAGCAACATTATCGGTGGTCCCTTAGCATTGTCCCTTAGCGGAAAAGTCCCTTAGCTTTTAACTAAAAACGCTAAGGGACATCCATAAAGTCTCTTATTTAAGAATTTTCAAAATATATCATATAAGTTAATTATATCATATAAGAAAAAAATCTAGATATTTTTATAATATGGTTAATGTGATTTTTTAATTTCTTTAATAATATAAATTAAACAAAAAAATGGAGGGTACAAAAACTATTATCAAATCTTTGTTATTCATAATCATTAATTGTCATATATATGTTAATTATATTAGATAATTCTGTAGTTTTTATTTAAGGAAATAAGTGAGAATATTATTTTATGCGTTATTAATCAATTTAATAGTTAATTTAATAAAAATATAATATATAGTTAGATGGATCAACCTATTTTCTAAGAGCAACATTATAGGTGGATTTAAGGGACTTTAAGGATGTCCCTTAGCGTTTTTAATTAAAAACTACGGGATTTTCCCGCTAAGAAACAACGCTATGAGACCACCGAAAATGATGACATAAGGATTCTGAGAAGCATTCTGGTGATAACACGTGACTAACACTCAAATGTTATAATGTTCCAGTAATAATATATAAGAGAAGTGGTGGATCCACAAGTATATAACACACACGCTCTATTACTATATAATTGTGTAACTAAACTGTACAGAGATGGTGACGTAGACATGCATCTTTTTGTTTTATTATTACGTAGGGGCCTTCCTCCAAGAGTTTGTTGAGACGTGGAAATCTTGGAATTAAAGCTTCTCGATTTCAAGGGGCCAGGCGTCGATGTGAAGTCAATTTTTATTCATTTTTGGAACAAAGTATCAAATTTGCATCATGTTATCATAATCACAACTCCTTATGATATACGTTTAACACCTAATAAATCTTCTTCTTTCTTCTGCTTTTTTGGATAACGTAACTAACCCTCAACTTTAAAGCAAAAGCAAATTTAAACGGTACAGCCTATTCTTTAGTCATGAACATTTTAGAGGTTCTCTTTACTGCTGCTTGACGGTTACAAACCTTTGACCTCAACAAATATTTTGCCATCTCAAAAACACTACAACGTATCCAAATATAGTTAGTTCCACAAACAGTATAGCTATAGTCATGATCTGTTCGTATAATCAAAAAGATAATATTCAACTATACAAGACACCTATTTATAGGTTTATTGGCTAGCTACAGAGAGAGATTCTGACAAATTGAAATGTCCCATTGATTCTGGACGTAATTGAATGTGCATAAAACAATAGTACTGTTAATATTTATTCGATGATTCGATCGAAGATAAAACCTCGTACACAGCTGAAGAAATAATTTTGGGATCGACGAGGTAACAAATGAACGTACATCAAGCAGACACGTGGCTACACACAACAGTCGACAATTTTCTCAAAGGAAAACAAACGTCCCTGAAAATTCCCTCAAATTTTTCTTAATTTCCGAGATAGAATGATTTTTTATTTTTAAAAAAAATTAGAAAGATACGCAAAATGAAACTGCGTATTGAAGCAACTGCTATATCTCTCTCTCCTCTCTTTCCTCTACCTCTCTCTCTATAAGGGCGTTTGCCTCAGGCGAACACAATCACATTAAATCCAAATTGTTCCTTTTTCGTAAATTTGATCGAACGTGAGAGTTTTTGCATTTCTTCAATAAAAAAAATTGGAAAATGTGATCTGGGTTTCTCGTAAACAAGGATTGAGAACATTCGTAGATTGATTGATTGATTGATCCACAGAGGATTGTAAAAAGGTTTTCATTTTCTTTTTTATATAGTTGTGTGTGTGATGGGTTTGGTTGATTCCTTGTTTGGAAAAGATGCAAGGAAATTTCTCAAAAGGAAAGATAGTGATGCTGCAGAAGCAGGTGAATTATCACTCATCATCATCATCATCATCATCTTCCTTCATTTTTCTTTATTTAAAATTCAGAGATTTAAAAAATGATGCTTTATCCTCCTCACATTGTCTGTGTTATTCAAATGTTATCTTAAATGGGTTTGATCAGATTGTTCATTAAATGATCGTTAAGGGTTTGTTTGTGATCTGAGAATTTAATGTTTATCATCTCTTTGATGAATTGCTTTTCAACAAAATGAATCACCTTTTGATCTGTTAATGTATTTTTTTTTTTTTTTTTTATGATTTGCAGGACGAGCTTTGGAAGAACTCAGAAGCTCTTTATACAATGAGCTCAAAACATCGGAAGGAGCTAAACGGCAACAACAGAGATTCTGTGGCCCTGTTGTTGCCATGTCTTTTAATTTCGTTGTTGCTGTTGGCATCATCCTCGCCAATAAACTAGTAAACACACACACACACACTTTTTTCAAATCTCAAACTCTTTCTCTGTTTTCTATGTGTTATTAAACTTATCTTTTTTGGTTTGGGGGTTTGATTCTGCAGGTGATGGGAAGAGTTGGATTCAATTTCCCAATCTTTCTAACGTTGATTCACTATGCCGTTGCTTGGATTCTTCTAGCTTTCTTCAAATCTCTCTCGTTGCTTCCTATGTCTCCTCCATCAAAGACCACACCTTTCTCCTCTCTTTTCTCTCTTGGAGCTGTCATGGCCTTTGCTTCTGGTCTCGCCAATACCAGCCTCAAACACAACAGGTTCATTTTCTCAATCTTGCATCAATATTCATAGCTCAAGACTTGACCTTGATGCATCTAAAGAGAATATACTCTGTTTTTTTTCTCTTCTTATCTTTTGTCTTTGTGCAGTGTTGGATTCTACCAGATGGCTAAGATCGCAGTGACACCAACCATTGTTCTTGCAGAGTTTGTTCTCTTCAAGAAAACCATTTCTTCCATAAAGGTTTGTGCTGGATTTTCTTTATATGATGTTATGCTCTCATTACATGGTTTTCTTTTGGTGCTTACTCTGTTTTTAGGGTTTGTTCTCTCTCACAGGTTATGGCATTAGCTGTAGTATCACTAGGCGTGGCCATCGCCACAGTAACCGATCTAGAATTCAATCTGTTTGGTGCATTGGTTGCTGTTGCTTGGATTGTCCCAAGTGCCATCAATAAAATCCTCTGGTCTAATCTTCAACAACAAGCTAATTGGACTGCCTTAGCGTAAGAATCTCTCCCTTTAGCTTTACTTGAAGCTTAAGCAAAATACAAGTGTCTTAAAAATAATACACTTTTTTATTGTTGAATGTAGATTGATGTGGAAGACGACGCCGTTCACAGTCTTCTTCTTATTGGCTCTCATGCCATGGCTTGACCCACCTGGAGTTTTGCTGTTCAAATGGGATTGGGGTAACTCTTCTGCAATACTCGTCTCAGCTCTACTTGGCTTTCTTCTCCAGTGGTCTGGTGCACTCGCTCTCGGGTTAGTCTCTTGTTCGTTGCTTAGATTTTAAGACCAGTCTTGCGTTTATTAGTTTGCTTTTGCTTCACTTTTCTGTCATCATCATCATTTATGATCAGTACAGAAACTTAGTGAACCCAAACCGGTTGGGATGAGTCTAAACGTCAAAACCGGTCCTAAAACATTAATTAGCTTCCGGTTTAAACATTAATTAACTTTTCTGCCATCGAAAACAGAAACCTAATTAGCCTAAACCGGTTCAGAATCCTTACCTAAACCGGATGGGATGAGCCAAAATGTCAAAACCGGTAGCTAAAACATTAATTAGCTCCCGGTCTGTAAAACTTCGGTTTACTAAAGTTTATATGCCTACCTACCTCTCTAAAGGTTTATGTATCTAAAAACACGATGATGTCTGTTACAGGGCAACCTCGGCAACATCCCATGTAGTATTAGGGCAATTCAAGACATGTGTGATATTGCTTGGTGGTTACGTTATCTTCGGCTCTGACCCCGGTTTCATAAGCATTTGCGGGGCTGTTGCAGCTCTTGTCGGCATGTCCGTATACACATGGCTCAATCTTCCAGGAAAATCAAACGATCACAGCTCGGGCAAGCTGCTTCCGAAGCAAAACACTGCCGTTTCGAAACCGAAAGCTGACAGTGACGACGTGGGAGGAGAGACCGTAGTTCCCCTACTTTCTGCTGAACTTAATCTTCCCAAGACAACTGCAAATATCGTATAGTTTATGTTCTTGTTAGAAGCTCAGGAGTTTAGCTTGTAATATTCGTTTAGTTTTTTCAAAATATTTTGCTATTTAATTGCTATTATAGTGAATAATGAAAGTACAAATCAAATGTTACATGGAGATTTGATGGGGGTATATTTTAAAACAATGAAACAGTGGTTGTAATTTTGAAACATCAAAACATTTTTTGGAATTATCAAAATAAAATTATGACATTTTCTGTTATTTCAACTAGGTAAGAAACCCGTGCGATATCGCACGGAAACATATTTTGTAAGAAAAAAAATGTTACATTTTATACAATTTTTTGGGGAAATAATGTGTTACAAAAATATATTGCATACAACTATATTTCTTTATTGATAATACTAAAATTCTGTATTTTATAAAGATATATATATTATGCTTAGCTCAGTTATGTTAAAATGTTAAACACAATTGAATATTTGAAACCAAATAAAAAGTAAGCACATTTCAATGTAATCATTTACTAAACTAATAAGATAACTTATAAAGACAACTCAAATAGTTATGGTTTATTTGAAACCATGTAAGACATTTATGGTTGAAAACATGGCTATATGGTAATTTTAAAAATATCTTCCTTAATATATTATTTTAAACATATCATAAAGTTTTTTTATTTTCTTCTTTTTGTATTTTTTTATAAAATAAAATATTTTTTAAAGAATTACATGTTTGCAATTTAAGTATGAGGTTTTGGTATAATAATACATAGATTGAAAGAATCTTAAATTGTTTGTCCCATTCAAGTATCATTACGGAATACATTCATGAACTTTAAAAGTCTAAAACAGTCTTATGATTTTTAAGGTGAATGTTTATTGAATCAATTACTTGAAACATAATAAAAATATATTGTAAAGATTGTATTTAATGCTCCAACTCCACTTATCTTATCAGATAATAAGTAATAAAAATAATTTTTATCTATGAATTCACTTTTCTCAATAATATTTTCAACTTCGATTAACAATCAAACATTATAATGGTTAACAACAGAAAATGCAATAACTCATTAACAATATGTACAATAATCATCAACATGAACAATGATTATCACCAAATATTGTAATGCCAAAAGTTGTAGTCAACAATGGTTATAATGTTTCATTGGATCATTGAAACATCTTGTTTTTAAAGATGTGCTTTTAGGATGGAAAGATACATCGTTGTGGAAAGATGCATCTTTAGATATATATTTTTTTAAAAACTAATAAAATATTAAGATGGAAAGATGCATCATTTAGCATTTATTTGAATTCATACTATAAATAGTTATAATGGTTCATATCACTAAAAATTTAACAACATTTCATTTGAATATCTTCTAAGAATTTGTAATCAGGTAATTGCATAAATTTTTTCTTACCATTTGATAAATTTGAAAAATATTTACAATAAGAAACTTATCGATATGGATTATTCATAAACTTTAAAAATTCTATAGAAAAGTAATAACTTTTACATTTGAAAGGTTATGTCTTTTCATCATTTTCTCTTTTTATATTATTTAAAAGAAGTTATCAAAATATATACATCTTTTCATCTTAACAATGTGCCTTTTCCTTGTAATAATTATATTAGTTTAAAAATTGTTTAAATATATTTTCATTCTAAATATTGGATCTTTTCATTTTAAAATGCAATAGCCTTTAAGACCATCTCCAATCGTTAATACGATTTTCACTTTAAAATAGACTGACTCTATAATAGAGTTGTGATATACTCCAATGGTATTCTATTTTAGAGTGGAAATAGAGTTATGAACAAACAAAAAAGAACTTATTCTATATATATAGAGCAAACACATTTTTCATTCTATTATAGAGTGAAAATAAAATACCTTTGGAGCATTGTTACTCTAAATTCTATTTGAAAAATAGAATATGATTGGAGATGTACTAAGCAGTCGTGAATCTATGAGAGAAAAACTGAGTGCCCATGCACCCTTTGATTTTTATTTTTTGGTATTTTCTAAAATAGACCACATATTTTAATAGATAATTATTAGAAAGGCTACATATTTTCCAGCAGGAAAAGTTCTTTGAGTTTTATTTTTTGTGATTCTCATTTATGAATCAAGCAAACAATTAAAGCTCCTATTAGTTGTTTATTCTTGTTATACTTCAGTTGTGACTATGGAATTAAATCTGGCAATATATGTGGGGGAATAATTGATTTCAACTGTAATACGTTTCTGAGGAATCCTGTTTTACAGAATTTTTAATTTAATGTGTAGTGAACAGTTACAGATTCTGATGAAAAGTAAAATGTGGAAGTTAGTCACTTATATAACTGTCGAAGCATTGCAACTGTTTGGGCAAGGAACGCAACTGCCCATGACATTTTTAAAAGGGTTTCTTTTAGAGTTTTGGTTAGACAAAGAAAATTGGGTTTTAAATTATTTACCTTAATATTTGTAGATAAATATTCAATATATTTTCCAACCAAAATTTGATTTTCTTTTGCATTAATATTTCATGGGTGTTATCCAAAAGTTGCTACAAAGCAACCGTTCTAAATATAACGAACAGTTGTGTCTTTTTCACATTACAATGTTTCAATAACTAACTAGATCTTGACCCGCGCACCGGCGCAAGTTTAACTTAATTTGAGAAAACATAATATATTCATAAGTCATCAATTATTATCGTATTTTAGAAATTGTGATCGTATTGAATGTAATAGGACTGGATTTGATTTTGGGTTCAATTTTTGTTGAATTCTTTTTGTTCGTAGTTTTTTATAGTTCTACAAATATAAAATCTGTTCAGTTATCTATATAAATTGATTTGCTTCCGGTTCGATTCTTTTGGTTTGAGCTGGGTTTGATAACAATTATAATAACCGACTAATATCAGATAAAGTTTTGGTTCCAATATGATAACGGTTTAGATACGATTTCTAGTGTTAATTTTAGATTAGTCGGGGTAAAACTGATTTTGCGGGAGGAGAGATGTTTCGGATAAATATCAGTTACGAAAACAAAATTTTAATATTTTAATTAAAACTATTCAAGTATTTTGTGTCTTTATGATAATTTGAATAATGTAAATATTTTAAATAAAAAAATATTTGAGTATTAAATTATTTGAAATGTAAATTGTTATTATCTTAAAAACTATGTTATTTTAATTTAGTCAACAGCAAATAAAACTGAATATGGTCTTTATATAAAATATAAACTAAAAACACAAATTACTACAATAGGCCAAATGATTAAAGTCAACCACATCATAAAATAAATTAAACAAAAGTCTAATTCTATTATAACAATGTTTAAAAGCCCAACTATATTAAATTTATAGCCAAACAATATTAAACTATTTATTACTACTATTTAAGTTTCCAAACAAACCTAAAAGATATTACAGTTTTAATAAGATAGATAACCGACTAATATCAGATAAATTTTTGGTTCCAATATGATAACGATTTGGTTACGATTTCTAGGGTTAATTTTAGATTAATCGGGGTAAAACTGATTTTGGGGGAGGAGAGATGTTTCGGATTAATATCAGTTATGAAAACAAAATTTTAATATTTTAATTAAAACTATTCAAGTATTTTGTGTCTTTATGATAAGTTGAATAATGTAAAATATTTTAAATAAAAAAATATTTGAGTATTAATTTATTTGAAATGTAAATTGTTATTATCTTAAAAACTCTGTTATTTTTAATTTAGTCAACAACAAATAAAACTGAATATGGTCTTTATATAAAATATAAACTAAAAACACAAATTCTACAATGGGCCAAATGATTAAAGTCAAACACAAATGATTAAAATAAATTAAACAAAAATCCAATTCTATTATAACAATGTTTAAAAGCCCAACTCTGTTAAACTTATAGCCAAACAATATTAAACTATTTATTACTACTATTTAAGTTTCCAAACAAACCTAAAAGGTACTACAGTTTTAATAAGATAGATATAAGGGATTAACTTTGCCTTTTTCATAAAACTCATAATTCAGGATTGCTGTAAACTTAATTTCATTATTTCGTTTAGGATTTTTTGCTATGAAACATGAATAATCCTTCGTATTATTCTTTGTTGACAATGTTTCATTTGAATATCTTCTACTAATTTGTATTTAGATTAGTGAAAGTTTAGTTTCAGAAAATTGTAAACATGGACTATATATAGATATTCAAATAACACGTTGAAAAGTTATAATTTTTTAAATTATAATCATTTTTTTAATGAATAGTCACAACTTTCTACAAATAGTACTCTTACAATATATGTAATTTGAATATATACATCTTTTTAGGAAAAACAAATTCAAATTATAATCAGTTTTTTAATGAATAGTCACAACTTTCTACAATAGTACTCTTACAATATATATATTTTGAATATATACATCTTTCTAAAACTTTTCAAATTATAATCAATTTTTAATGGATAATCACAACTTTCTACAATAGTACTCTTACAATATATATATTTTGAAAGAACACATTATTTCAAATTAACTAACTTTTGAATAGACATATTGTTTCAAAACAATTAAATATTAGAAATTTTGAAGAGACACCTTATTTCAAATTAACTAACTTTTGAATGAACATATTGTTTCTAAAAAAATTGAAATATTAATTTTTTTGAAAAGACACATTCTTTTAAATTAACTAAATTTTGAAAGGACACATTGTTTCAAATTAAATTTAAAATCTTAAAAATAAAAACACAACTTTTCAACTTAATAGAATTCATAACCCTTGGAATTAATCAAGATTGTTATTATTGGTAGATTAACTTAACACTTTATTGGAAATTCACGAAACTCCGGTAATCCGGTTCGATCCGACCCGAACCGGTTTTCTTTGGATCCGGTTTCCGCAGTCGTTAACAACAAAAAAAAAAGTTGATCTCTCTCTCTCTCTCTCGATTTGCGTTGCGACTTAATTATTCTCGGCGAGTGGGATTTTAAAGACTGAATCAGTGAGTCTCGGATCGAGTTAAGGATGGGAAGTAACGGAGAATTGAAGTACGAGATCTCACAGAACGCGTACATCAAACTCGTTCTCCACTCGCTGCGTCACAAGACGGCGGCGGTCAACGGAGTCCTCGTCGGTCGAATCAGCCCTAAGGACGAAGGCCTCGTGGAGATCTCCGATTCCGTGCCGCTCTTTCACTCTAACCTCGCTATCCTTCCTCCTCTCGAGATCTCCCTCATCATGGTCACACACACACTCTCTTCTTCTTATGATTTGAATCGGCTTTGAAAATTGAACTTTTGAAAAACAATTGAGTTTAGATATTTAATTACGAACTGAAATTGTAGCCTGCATAATTGTTAGTGAAGCCTTACTCTTTGGTTTCTATTTTAACATGGAAAGTTTTGGATCTTGGATTGTTTGGGTTTTAACGAGAAGCACAACACTACTCTGTAGTTCTGTGTTGTTAAAAGATATATATATATGTTTTGTTGTTTGTGATGTGTTTTAGATAGAGGAGCATTACGTGGCTCAGGGTTTGAGTATTGTTGGCTACTTTCACGCCAACGAGAGGTTCGATGATGTGGAGCTTTGTGGTGTGGCTAAGAACATTGGTGATCACATCTCTCGCTATTTCCCTCTTGCGCCAGTTCTCTTGGTGAATTTCTTTATCCTTTATATTCTAAGTGCAGCAGTTTATTTGAAGCATTAACTAAGTCACCATTTTTATGTTGTTTTGTAGTTGAACAACAAAAAGCTTGAAGCTCTATCAAAGGGTAAGGATCGAAGCCCTGTGATGCAGGTTGGTATTTCTAATCAGTATAAGGTTTTGGACTGCTTAGTTTTATAGCTTGGATATGAGATTAGAAGTTAGTTAAGTAAGGAATGTATATATCGTGGTCACTCTACACCGTTATATCTTCATGGCATTTCAAAGTATTGTTCTGTATATTGTTATTGCTATATAGGAAATATATAGATGTTATTCTCTGTTGTTATCAATAAGCTCAAGGGAGAATATTGAAAGACTGAGAAGCTCGAAATTAAAAGCCCCTGCGCTTAATCATTGTTGAGTTCAGTATTAGTTTGATTGAATCCTAGATAAATTCAACGTTAAGATATAAAACATGACCATATTAGTTGATTACATTTCCAGACAGTCTACTTGAATAGTGGTAGCCACCTTTTTACACCAGATTGACTTTTTCTCTTGGTGCTTTCTGCTTGATGCAGTTAATATATCAATCTCTCAGTTTTTTACTCGTTTAGTATTTTTTACTCGTTTAGTAAGTAATGCTTTTGTTTATATATATTGTATGGTAGCTTTGTGTGAAAGATGCTTCCAAGAACTGGAGAGTGGTTGGGGCAGATGGGGGAAGCAAGCTACTCTTGAAAGAGCCCTCGGCCAATGTAGTTTTGTCAGATTACATTTCATCTGAGAAATGGAAGGACGTCACAGATGTTGACGATCATCTTGATGATGTAACCAAGTAAGTTAGATAGATACACACAAGTAAGTTAGATAGAAAAGAAAAAGCTATATGTTAGTATTTCACTAATATTTCACTGTAATGGCAGGGACTGGCTAAACCCTGGACTTTTCAACTGAAGACTACATGTATGCGGTATAGCTAAGTTTTGCTTTCATCATCTTTTAAAACAAAACAAAAAATCTCAGAGACCCATGTTTACAGCTTCCCTTGAAATTTTGTTCAAGTATTACAGTTTACGCAACATGGCTGAATTTGCATTTACATCTTAAACCCTAGTTTTCATCACTTGAAGGATATCTTTTGCGGCTTTCTTGTGATCCAAAATTATCTCTTTGGTTCCACTTTGATTTTATAGTAGGAACTTGGAATGAAACCCTGCGTTGTTAGGCTGTTGTTCTTAAACTTGCGAAGTACGTAGTTAAAATCACAACTTTTAGCGTTTTTCGATTTCAATAGTAACACTTTGGGAATTGGGGGGGCTACATCTGCATCAACCTTAAAGCACAGGACAGCCTTTCTTGTGATCGGATAAGGCACTGGAGGGTAATGGTCTGAATTCTCAAGTCCCCACCAATCAAGTACAAGCTTAAATCATTGTTCTGAAACGCAAATGTATCAAACACCCAACTAATCGCAGTACATGCGTCATGCCAACCTCCTGACGGTGTAGTAGTTGAACAGAAACCCCCAACGATAGTAATGCACAGCTTTGGCTTGTGGCATTAGGGCTTACTGCTAAGATGAAAGGGAATATGGATATGTTTTAGCAATTTCTTCTCTGAGAACTTCCTTGATTTAGGAAAGTCTCAAAGGTTTGCTACGTGTAGAAGGGTAACTTGTGGGCATCAGAAGCGTTAGTCCTAGTGAAATGCCTAATCAAAGAAATTGGCTATGGCGAAAAACGTCACAGTAAGAAACTTGCAACCGTGGGGACTTTGGTCAAGAGACTCAAGGACAAAACGAATTAATGCCTAATCAATCATAATACAAAAATGTGCCAGATTATTAAAATTGGGCCTAATACTATCTGAATCAAAGCCCATTAAAACACAAACAATATATAGGTGCTAGTTGCTACTCCAAAATTCATCACCTTCTTCTACTCGAGTGTTAAACCCTCGCCGCTAGAAAAACCCTAACCCTAATTTTCGCCATGGTTCTCACTCGTAGCAAGAAGAGAGTGACGAAATCTCAAACCCCTCCGTCAAAGAAGGCGGAGAAGCCCCAGGCTATGGCACTGAAGAGGAAGCCGGAGAAGCCCCAATCTCCGGCATTGAAGAAAGGAGCGGCGAAGTCCCAGAATAAACCTCCAATGAAGAAGCAGAAGAAGGAAGTCGTTGAGGAAGAAGATCCTCTCGAAAACGACGAAGAAGTTTCCGATGTAGAGTCAGAAGAGCTTGGTGAGTCTGACGGCGGAGAGGACGGGTCTAACGGCTTTTTCTCCGATGAAAATAAAGAAGAGAACGACGAAGAAGATGAGGGTGAGGAGCTTTTGGGTGATGACTTTCTTGAAGGTAGCGGCGATGAAGAGGAACATTCTGATGACTCGGAAGAAGGTTCGGATTCTGACTCCGACGAAGGAGATATTGAGAAGGAGTCGAGACTTATTGATGAGGAAGAAGCAAAGGAGGAAGCAGACGCTGAAGCTGAGCTTCTTGATTTCAACAAGGAAGCTGGAGACGATGCGTTTCGTTTACCAACTGAAGAGGTACAATGCTCTGTTTTTATTAGAACACGTATGGTGAATGAGACAATATCTAATAGAAGCTGTTTTCTGTTGTCTATAGGAACTTGAAGAAGAAGCTCGTGGGCCACCAGATCTACCTCTACTTCAATCTAGAATCAAAGAGAGTGAGTAACGATCAAAAGTTTGTTTTTTTATTGCTAGGATTGTGCAAAGTTTTGATTTTTTTTTTGGTTGTTTAATGTTTTCAGTTGTTAGAGCTCTGTCGAATTTTAGTGTCTTGAGGCCAAACGGAGCTAGCAGGAAAGATTGCGTTGAACAGCTCAAATCTGATATTGCTTCTTATTATGGCTACAACAGTTTTCTTATTGGAGCTTTGTTTGAGGTTACTCTCTCTTCTTTTGTTTGATGTTTGCTACTGCTCTTTACTTATGGATGTTTTATTGGGATATGTTTTGCAGCTGTTTCCTCCTGTTGAACTTATGGAGCTTATTGAAGCCTTTGAAAAGCAAAGGCCTACATCTATCAGGACTAACACACTTAAGGTGAAACTTGGTTGTGCTTTGCTGGGTTTTATTTAGCTTATGAATTATTAGCTCTGTTGTTTAATGGAAATGCTTGTTTTGTTTTAGACTCGAAGAAGGGATCTTGCTGATGTGCTTCTGAACAGAGGAGTCAATCTAGATCCACTAAGCAAGTGGTCAAAAGTAATGTTTTTGTTTTCGTAATTTTGTTCCTTATATCCATAGTCCTGCTTTACGAATGTTCTGTAGTTAGTTAATATATGTCATAAAAATTGCAGGTCGGACTTGTTGTTTATGATTCACAAGTGCCCATCGGTGCAACCCCTGAATATTTGGCTGGTTTCTACATGGTTAGTGATATTCTGTTCTCTTCTTTTCACCATTAATGGTTAACGTGAATTGTTTATTAAGTCTGCACTTGGTGAATTTGTAGCTTCAAGGTGCTAGTTCGTTTTTGCCAGTGATGGCTCTTGCCCCTCGAGAGAATGAGCGTATTGTGGATGTAGCGTAAGTTACTATCACCTATTAAATTGTGTAAGAATTAGTTTTGTTCTCGCGTGCATTGTGTGAATGTGTCATTTGTTATGATGCAGTGCTGCTCCTGGGGGTAAAACTACTTATCTTGCCGCTCTAATGAAAAATACTGGTATGTCTTCATTTATCTATTGTACTTATCCCCATTACTCAGATTCAGGTTGATTATCTTAGTGTTTATAATGATTATTTTTGGTTTAAGTAAAGTTATATTAATGCTGTAACAAGGTTTGATATTTGCGAATGAGATGAAAGTACCTAGGCTCAAGTCGCTAACTGCCAATCTGCATCGCATGGGTGTCACAAATACCATAGTTTGTAACTATGATGGAAGAGAGGTTAGCTTCTTGAGCATTCATTAACTGCATAGAAAGTCGATATTGTTGAATTTGTTATACCTCTTCACAAACCCATAACATCTACACACTGACATGACTGAAATTATGAACTTTACTTTCAGCTACCCAAGGTGATAGGTGAGAAATCGGTTGATAGAGTATTGTTGGATGCACCTTGCAGTGGGACTGGGGTAAGAAACTTTCCAGAAACTTTCGAGCTTAGTATCTGTTGAGCTCTAGATCTTTTTAACTAAATGTTCTCTTCTCTGTTACCTATACAGGTCATTTCGAAAGATGAATCAGTTAAAGTTTCGAAATCTCTGGAAGAGATAAAGCAATTTGCTCACTTGCAAAAGGTATGACAGTATCTTCTTAACAAACGTCTAAGGAATGCGAATATAACTTCTTTTTTTTAAAACCTGCAGCAACTTTTGCTCGCCGCTATTGATATGGTGGATGCCACCTCCAAAACTGGTGGATATATTGTTTACTCAACATGTTCACTTATGGTTGCTGAGGTTAGTTAATGTTTTCCCCCACCCTTTCTATACCTATGCATCCTCATATTTTTATTTTGTATGAACAAAATATGAGCAGAACGAAGCTGTCATCGACTATGCTCTCAAAAAGAGGAGTGTTCAACTCGTTAAAACTGGACTCGACTTCGGCCAAGACGGGTAATGTACAAAGTTTCATGTATTGATATGTAAAGTTACATTACCATGATACCGTCTAATATTTTTTACCCTTTCTCCTCACCAGATTTACAAAGTTTAGAGAAAACCGGTTCCATCCATCTTTAAAGATGACTAAACGTTTTTATCCTCATGTACACAACATGGATGGTTTCTTTGTTGCAAAGGTACTCACTTTTGACTCTGTAAATGCTATCCAACCGTGTCTTTGTCATTTATCTAATAGGTGATAAATCTATATAATAGATCTACATGTTTTGATGTTACGCGCTTGTTTTTCTTTATGCAGCTAAAGAAAATGAGTAACATGAAACAAGGTACAGAAGATGATGAGGAGGAGGCGTTAGGAATTGTAGATGAAGATGGTGAGACCATGGAAGGGATGGAGAAACCTTCTGTTGCCAAGAAGCAACCCAAAGAAACTAAAGAAAGCAAGAAGATACTTTCAAAGTTTAAGGTGGACAAAAGTGGGAAGAAAGATAAGAAATCAAAACTTAAAATTGAACCTAAAATAAAGAAGAAAAGGAAGAACAAAACTACAGTGAGGATGGAGATTTCTCAAGCTAGGTAAGCATGTTTTCACCTCTTGTCAAAAGTCATTAACTGAAAGAAGAAAACGCTTTGGGCTATCTGATATATATCTTGCTTGACAAATGTTGTATGGAACGCATTTGCAGGGAAGAGAAAAGAAGAGCAATGAGAGGGAAGTCGAAGGAGAAGCAATGAGAGGGAAGTCGAAGGAGAAGCAATGAGAGGGAACTCGAAGGAGAAGCAATGGATCAGTGATTTTGCATCAAACACTATCATATACACTCATGGTGAAATTAAGGTTCCATGTATTGGCTTGTTTTTTTTTTATATTTATTTACGAACTATTTGTGTAACATTACAAGCTAAAAACCGTAGAGAGCTACACTCTCTTAGACTCGATGGATAGATCTTATATGTCCAAAAATTTTGTTTCAAAAGTCTAGTGAAATTGAGTGCTTGTGCCAGTCACTTAGTTCCTCATCTTTGTCACATAGTCAAAAGTTAGGGTGGACGTTACCAGAAAACCGAACCTATTATATGGGGGTGATTGGTTGAACTGTAGATTTAAAATTTTTACTGTAGAATTTAGATTGTAGATGTTTTTGATGTAGTTGTATCTAATGTAACTGTAGAAATTAAATGAAAAAAATATAAAAAGAAAGATATTCCTACAATAATCCTACATCAATAATTTTTTTGCTTTAGAAAATAGGGTTCCTACCACCACTTTTCCATTTTTTTGACTTTAGCTTTAGAAACGAGTTAAAGCATGATTGGTGATTTAAATGGTTGTAGATAGAAATTAAAACTAAATTCATTACTTACAACCCAACCAATCATCCTCTATATCATATTAATATTTAACAATCTACAACCTAAATTTAAAAAGTTAACCAGTAACTTATCAGTTAACTAAATCTTTTATATTTTAGTTTCATAGCATGTTGAAATCGATTTTATGCATTAATATAAAAGAATGTTATGTTTTTACTTTTTAGTAGTAACTAAACAAACTTTAAATTGCATCAAGCTGAACTCAAGTCCAACTACAAACTATATTACTTAGTTTTAGTTTCTGTAAGACCAAACTGAAATCAAAATTGTACAATCATATACAACAATATATTGAAAGTTGGAAAAGGCTCTGATTTTCAGTTCATTATCTTTTTGGTTTTACAGAGAGATGATTAAAATTAGGGATTTGTCTAGTGAGCTGTTGATTGGTTGTAAGTAGTTAGAGACTTGAGAGAGAGATTCATCACATCTCTCTCAGAAGTGGGACTTGTGTTGGAGAACATGACAACCCATTCTTCATCTATCTCTGTCAGATACTCAGATCTTGTTTTTGGGACCTCTCCATATTAATATTTGATTATTAATCCTTAACTCTCTTTTATGTTTTTAATAATTAAAAATTGCTTTACTCATATTTTTTTTATACAAAAAGTACTTCAAATATTATAGAATCATATAAGATATCTAACCGGTCGATTTTTTTTTTTTTGTCAACTTTCGGCTTTTATAGAAGCCCACAGGCAATAGGAGTACATATAGGTTTCTAGTATACATACGTGTCTGCTTAAAAAAGAAGATACAACACGTGTCAATAATTAAACATGCAAATCTGAAAATTGAAGCTCCGCCGTCGACAAGTTTTGAAATCACCGCTGTTGAAGCTTCATCTTCTCCACCACCGTATTGCATCCTCCTTGATTTGTACTCCATGAACTCCATCTTTCACTCAATCCTTTGTTTGTGCTTCAAAAACTCAGACTCCAACAGATGATAACCCGGGGAAAGCTTGGATGACCTACGAGAGATTTTTGTCGGACCATCTTCAGGAAGATGCCGGCTTATCTAAATCTCCATAATAATCAGCCAAGATCAAGTCCAAAACCACAGCTTCCTTTCCTTAAAGATACTCTACTAAAAGCCTATCATTGGCTTCATAAAGAAAGTAGAGATTGACTCTCATTAGAAAGAATTAAGTGAATATCCATGAAGAAAGAGGATCTCAACACAAAACAAAAGGGGTTTGAAATTTGCTGTGAAAGAGGAGAGATTAACTTTATTTGAACTCAAAACAAATTAGGGAAAGATAGAACTTGAAGAACAACCCATATTTGTTTTGAAGATACACACAACAAAATCGCCTAAAGCGAAACTATTTCCTCAACAGGAGAAGAGAAATCGCCAAAGCGAAACAAAAGATTCAATCTTTCGATTGAAATTTATTTTACATCAAAAAACAGGGCAAATCTCATCCTCCCTCTGAAAAATATGAGTCTGATAAGAGGGATAGGAAGAGAGAATTCTCCTCTCTCTAAAGAGGAGAGAGAGAGGCCCAGCTTATCGTATATTAGTCAGTTTCTAACCGGTCGATTATATGATTCAATCAACCAATCTTTTTTTCTATTATAATGGTATGAACAATTTGTTTACTGGTGATTTTATTATATTCGAACTTTCGAAGGAACATTTATATTTGTCTGCTGTTCAAAAGAACTTTTTGAAGCGAAAAAGATGGGTTATGTTTTAACAAAAGTAGATAAAATTAAATCAGGTGAACAATTATTTTGTATTTTTAATTTCTTGACGCCAAACAAAATCATGTGGACTATGTTCTGACATTTGGGTTGTAATAATTTGTATAAAGCAGAGTAGATATAAACTATAATTAAACAGTGATTAACTCGATATAAGTTTACTGTACCTACGACACAAGTAAATCTGGAAGAAGAAAATACATGTAACCTTATATAAAAACATGCTCGTCATTGCGAATTATTTTTGTTGACTTTAGTGAAACACAAATTTTGCTTAAATTATCAGAGTTAACAGCTATTAGGTAGACTAATTTACGTGAATTTGTATTTTGGATATTGAGATAGAATAAAATTTGGGATCGTTTTTTATTTTATTTTTTTATAATGATTGAAAATAATAGATATTAGCACTAATGCTCATAGTTCCTTTAGAACTCTGAATAAAAAAATATGTATCGACAAAATTGGTAATAAAAGAGCTACTACTGTCTTAGAAAACTCATGTGTTTGTGTGTGCATCCTTTTAAAAATACGAAAAATGTTAAATCTAAACCCAAACCGTTAAATAAAACTGTTTACAATAAATTAAAAAAGAATTGTTGAGATAACAAAATGAACAGATTATACCTACTTGTGTTTCTTTATGCTGAGCAATCTTCTGTTTTGTCAACTTCCTGTTGAACTATATCCACAAAAAACATTGTTTCTTCTCGATTCAATGGGAAAGTATTCAAGAAACAATGGGGCATGCAATCTTACATTAATATCGAAATAAATCAGAAACTGCTTTAAATCTTTTCCGGAATCGTTAGAACCCCAAGCTTTATAAGATTAGGATGGTGAAATTTAATCATAATTTAATATCTGCTCTCCATAACTTTTATACATAAAATCATCCAGGCATGTATTATTAGTGAGATTTCACTAAGATTATATAGCCATTTATTTTTGGAGTGTGTAACTATTTTTAGAAACTATAATAAATACAAGATTTACAATATCTATATCTATACTAACTGGAAACATATATGAAAGCTAAGTCAGGCAAATGTATATTATAAAATTATCTTTATTTTGAATTGGTAAGCCTTTCTACACATTCCAAAACAAGCTAAAAAATATCAAAATTTATATCACGTAAAAAAATTTAATATGTATGTTCTTATCAAACGTATTTGGACAATAGATAATAATCTTTATAAATTTTAATTTTGTGTCTAAAAAGGCTAACTATTAGTATTACAGCTCACGAGGGGATCCTTGATGTAAACATTTGTCTTCCATTTTGGAGAAAACCTTGAAATAATTGAATCCCTCAAAAATATTAAAATAAAAAAGTATTCCAACTTTTTCTTTGACCAAACTCTCTCTCTATTCTCTTTCACAGAACTCTTTTTTTATCTAATCCCTATTTCCATGGAAGCAA